ATTAGCAACCCAGGCAGATGCACGTCGCCCTAGACCGGATGACTTTAGCATCAATGAGTTACACAACGAGACCAAAACAGCCTGCCTCGGTTTACTCATTTGTTGGACAATTTTGTGGCGTTTTCACCGGACTAGATAAATTACTGATTTTGTAGTTAGTAGCATATATTACTGATTTACTGGTAGTCTCGACACTCTACTTGCATACGAAAAATAAGTAACGTAGTCGATTGTTCTAGCAAAAATACGTTTGCTTCATCGACAATCCCACCAAAGAATGTGATATTGGAAAAGGCCTGGCCTTCATCGAAATTCACATATGCCCGGTGAACCAAGGGTACTCGTTGCAAGATGGCCGAATGGTTAGCGTGTCAAACTCACATTCTGCACTGTCACGATTCGACTTCAACTTGAGGTGCTGATAAAACCTATGCGAGGTCGAAATTGCAGTCTACCTAAGCCTGGATGAAAAAAGCTTTTTCGTAAAGCAAGGCTATGTGAAATTTAATGGAAACCTCAGCTCTACTCATATGATTGTGGGAAAATTCGACTACAGTCCTTCATTACTTTAAACGAAATAGGGTGAATACATCTCATATCACTGATTTACTGGTAATCTCAAAAATAGTTAATAAAATTTATATATATGAGTCAATCCGCACACGAAGTCTGTTTTTAACTTTATCATTAACAACTTAGATTTAAATCCAATTCAACCGTGTGATCATGAAAATTATAAAAATTAGGTTATAAATTACAAAATCAAAACATTTTTGTAGAGCAGCATCGTCTACCGAATGACCTCTTATATGTCCCTAGTGAAGCATCTCCAGACTTGAATTAGGTAAAAAAAATTTGTCCTATCCTGCCTGCGTGAAGTTAACCAATTATAACCGAATAAAATCAGAATATTTTAAATAATTTTTCGCATTTTTGAGTCGCAGAAAGAATGGCAGGTAACGATGCCAAGTAGGTGATGATATTAATTGCCAGATTCTAGTGGCGTAAGACTTTAGACCTAATGAAAATTCGTTCAACCCGACACGCCTCAGGCACTTTCGAAGGTTATATTCCGCTCGCCTGCTCAGTGGGGAACTGGAGCAAATAGCATGTCATCCAATTTGATATATGTAAGAACTTCTGTCCAGATAAAGCGACCCCTCGGGTGCAAGCATAATTCCCCTCGAATAAGGAATTGATGCCCACAATAGGCATTAACTTAAGACATTGTAGGAAGTTAGTAATTTCTAATGTAAACATATTTTCTATATCCTCTTCCGTGATGACGAAGATGCCATCAAGGTATGCAAGATGGGGACTCAAGAGCAAATAAACAATGGGAGAATTTCACAATCTCGTATTGGGTGACAATTGGCGGGTTTATTTTTTAATTGCACTTGTCA